GTTATCAAGCTTAATCTTAAAGCCAGAGAGGTCTTTCGCCCCCACTGTTTCCCTCGTAAGGCTGTTCCAGAACTTCACCCCTCTGACGGTTAGAAACCGTCGTCTAATTTCAAGCCTAAACTTCCCGACGGCCAGTTTATATCCATTTGTTCTCGTGTCCACATTAGTACTGAGCTGAAATAATTCCTCTCCCTCCCTGGTATTTATCCCTCTGATATATTTAAAGAGAGCAATCATATCTCCCCTCAGCCTTCTTTTGGTTAGGATAAACAAACAGAGTTCCTCGAATCTCCTTTCATACGACAGGTTTTCCATTCCTCGGATCATCCTAGTGGCCCTTCTCTGTACCTGTTCCAGTTTGAGTTCATCCTTTTTAAACATGGGAGACCAGAACTGCACACAGTATTCTAAATGAGGTCTCACCAGTGCCTTGTATAACGGAAGCAGCACCTCCTCATCCCTATTAGAAATACCTCACCTAATGCATCCCAAGACCGCATTAGCTTTTTTCACGGCCACGTCTCATTGCTGACTCATAGTCATCCTGCGATCAACCAGGACTCCGAGGTCTTCAGCACTGTTTTTGTTGCTTTAAGCAGAAGATGCTGTAGCTTTTCTTTATTCACAGTCTCTGAGACCAGCGAAATGGCTGCACCGGTCTCCAGTTCCATGCGTATAGGTTTGCCATCCATCAACGGGGTTACCCAGTATTCATGTGAGCCCACTGCCAAAGACTAAATGTGGAGTGGCTCTTCTTCTCGTGAGCAGGTATCTCCTTGGTCATCCTGGGTCTGCTCTAGGGTTATGCAGATTTCCCTTTTTGGTCGGCCAGACCACAGGCCTCTTTTTCTTTTGTTTACAGGCACAGTCAATGTGTTCCTTTTTGCCACAGTGTCGATACACCAGGTCCTTACACCAGCATTCTGATGCCTGGTGATCCTGCTTACCACAGCGGTAACATTCCTGACTCCCCACAGTTTTGTGGGTAGGTTCTTGTGACACTTTATGCACCCTAGGGGATGCACCAATGTATTGTGCCTCCATTGTAGCCAGTTCCATGGAGACCGCAATATCAACGGCCTTCTGTAAGGTAAGCTGAGCCCCTGTCAATAGGCGCTTGCGTATAGCTTCACTGTGCAGGCCACACACTAACCTGTCACGTAGGGCGTCATTTAACATCTCCTTAAATTCACAGTGTTCCGCAAGCTTTCTCAAAGTTACTACAAATTGTACAACTGTTTCATCTTCTTTCTGGCCTCTTTTGTGGAACCTAGATCGTTCAGCAATTACCAGTGGTTTGGGAGAAAAATGGTACCCCAGGATTTCCACAATGTCACTGTAAGATTTGGGACCGGCTCTAGGCACCAGCAAAGCAAGCAGGTGCTTGGGGAGGCACATTTCCAGGGGCGCCATTCCGGCCAACGTCTTCAAAAATTCCAACATCAAGCCCCAGCTCTCCTCGGGCAACAACGTTCCCACCAACTGCCTGGATGTGGCAGGCAGTGGCCCTCCGGGCTACTGCTACAATGTCTGCCTGACACCGGAGTCCACCAAGAATGACTTCATGTTCCTAAAGCCCTACAGCCCGAGTCCCACAAGGAACAAGGAGAAAGCTGCCGAGAACTTGCCAGGGCCGGGAAGGAAGCCCCGAGCAGCGAATAACACCGTCAGTGCCACCAGCCAGGTAACACTGCGCTGCCGTACAGCCGGTGGGGCTCAGGGAGATGCACTGGGAGAGAGTGCCATGAAATACCTCTTCAAGGGTTAGCCCTGCTTCCCCCTTCTTCTCTCCCTCCCCCGCCCCCTTGGAAACGAATCTGAGCCGGGAGAAATCCTTTCATTCAGGCACAACTTTTTAAAGATAACGACCCGACCCTTTGATCAAGTGGCAGTGTCGGGATTAGCACCCGTCGGACAGCAGGCAATTCTCCAGCGCGCTCCTCACCCATGTCAGGGAATGATCTGGGGAACGTCAGGCTCATTTGAAATGAGGGAAAGGAGCAGAAAGCGCTCAGAAGCAGCAGCCCAGCTCCTAGTAAGACTGAACTACGGAGTGTGCCCAGGAAAGCCAAGGGCTGTCTCAGGAGATAACTGTCCCCTTTTGAGGGCTCTTGCTCAGCCTCCGACCGCGGCTGCACAACCCCGTAGCCTTCCTTCAAGAGACCCAGGCGTGACACCGGGGCAGCAAAGCAAGCAGTGATTTAAACCTCTTGAAATGTCCCTCTCTAGTCTGTATTTCCCCTCCGCACATATCACAGGCGGCACGAGTTACTCAGGTGCTCTAGTGGCCCATGGGGCTTTTCAGCTCCTCTGTCTCAATAAGAAATTCAGGCAGATACACACGGCTCAAGCAGATTCAGATGCAGTCGTTGCCCAATGCTGCATCAGTACCGCACCCAGTCAAACAAACAAAACAAAACAACAACACTGCAAAGTGCAAACGTGTAAAAGCCAAAAAAGCGGGCGGGGAGGGATGGGCGGCCAAATATTTTTTTGCTTGGGGCAGCAAAAGCCCTAGAGCCGGCCCTGGTAAGATTTAGTCTCTCTCTTAACAGGGTGGAGTAAGCTGCGTAGCAGGGAGTAGGTCTTAGCCCTACAACACTTGAGAATATTGGCACCTTCTTCTCTTCTGCAATGTCATTTGCAATAACAAAAAGCTCAAAACACTCAGTATATATGGGCCATTGCACTATAGTCTCCTCGAAAGGTTCCAGCGGCCCCATAAGTGTAGCCATGGTTCTCGTTTCAGTTTCACAGTCAGTGCAAACAAGCCAGTTCTCAGCCCCTTCAGCAGCAAAAAGATTTGTTTGGTTTTTTTGTACCTTAACTTCAACTTCCTTCTGTTACTGGGGCAGCACAGGGATCCCACCCTTGTCGCCACGTTGTTATATCCTTGAGGGCAACAGTTTTAGGAAGAAATCACTGGAGACACAGAGAGCTGTAAACCTTGGAGCAGCCATTTATTGCCACACCAGAACTAGCCAACCGCCAGCCAAAACTGGCTGGGCTATCCCCTAATAATCAAACTCAGTTGCCATAGCAACACAAGATTCTATTACCACGACAACCAAATACACAAC